TTTTTTGAGACAGGGTATCGCTCTGTCACCCAGGCTGGAGTGCAGTAGCGCCATCTCGACTCACTGTAACCTCTGCCTCCCGGGTTCAAGCAATTCTCATAGTTCAAGCAATTGTACTGTCTCAGCCTCCCAAGTATCTGGGTTATAGGCACACGCCACCACGCCTGGCTAATTTTTGTATTTTTAGTAGAGACGGGGGTTTTGTCATGTTGGCCAGGCTGGTCTCTAACTCCTGACCTCATGTGATTCACCCGCCGTGGCCTCCCAAAGTGCTAGGATTACAGGTGTGAGCCACTGAGCCCAACCGAATTCTACTTTTTTTTTTTTTTTTTTCCTGAGACAGAGTATCGCTCTGTCGCCTAGGCTGGAGCGCAGTGGCGCCATCTCGGCTCACTACAACCTCCGCCTCCCAGGTTCAAGCAATTCTACAGTCTCAGCCTCCTGAGTATCTGGGATTACAGGCGCACACCACGACACCCAGCTAATTTTTCTACTTTTAGTACAGATGGGGTTTCGCCATGTTGGTCAGGCTGGTCTCGAACTCCTGACCCCAGGTGACCCAGCTGCCTCGGCCTCTGAAAGGGCTGGGATTACAGGTGTGAGCCACCACATCCAGCCCTAAATTCTATTTTTAACAGGAAAAAAAGGACCAGACAAGCACTCGTGGTTTTTGGCACTTCTCTATTTCTGTGCTTGCCAAGTGGTGGCAGGAGCAGCCCTGGTCTGGGCAGCCCGACGGCCTCACTGGTGGCCAAGCAGAAGCCACTGGGACACAGGGGGCACCTGTCACCGCAGAGAGGGAGACTGGGGCCTTGGGAGCCGTGTGGCCCTGGGCCCCAGAGCAGGCCTCTTGGCACCTCTTTCCCCACCAGCTCCGGCCTCTCTGCAGCCACCTTTTCAGGAGGGGCAGGAACTCTAGAAAGCTCCAAAACGTGTTGCCTTTCTCATTACAGGGGGCAGGGAGGTGGGGGGTAGGGAGTGGGGATCAGGCAGGGGGCAGAAGGTGTAAGAGGTTCAACCTGCCTGGGGGACTTTACTTACACAGGGCAGAGGCTGGGTGTGGTGGCGCCCACCTGTAGTCCTATAGTGCTCTGGGAGGCTGAGGCAGGAGGATCACTGGAGCCCAGGAGACAGTGACTATGACAGAAGCCGCACGCTAGCGTGGGCAACAGAGTGAGACCCTGGCTCAAAAAAATAAAACTTAAAACATTTGAAAAATAAACGGCAACTTTTTGAAGAAAAGTGAGGGGAAGGGCATGAGGAGGAATCCCCTCGTTGGCAGAGCGAGCTCCTTCCACAGAGGAAAGGACGCTGCAATCACCGTGACATTTCAACAAGCAGCGATGGCCCTGCGTCCTGACGTCCCGTCTCGGACCTCCAGGGAGGCGGGGATGGCAACCCTGCAAGCTTCCCTTTGATGTCAGGGAATCTGAGAAATCGTGGGATCTGGAGGCCAGGACGGTGAGGGTGATGCCTATGATCCGATGGGACTCAAGGGTCCACCCTGGTGCCCTAGATGAGTTCTAGGGAGGGCGGCCACGATGCTGGCTTCCCATGCAGCACTCGGGCAAGCCCCTCAAAGTGTGCAAAGCAATAGCCTGACGCAGCTCATCTTGGGGGGCTCACACGGTCCCTCCTGGGGTCCCTGCCCTGGGCTAGGATGCCCCTATCCTCTCACAGTCCCTATTCCTTGCACCCTGTGGGCCCAGCAGCAGCCCCTGTCCTAGTGGTACAATGTAGCTGTCCACAGACTCCATGCCCAGACACCTCCCCGGGCCACGCACCATGAGGTCTCCACCCAGCTGTGTGAGACCCACATAGTGACAGGGTGTGGCTGAACAGGTCTCCAGGCCCAGCTTCAACCCACAGCCTCCCTGCAGCGAGACACACATGTAAGGGTCACAGGCCAGCAAGCCTGTTCTCTCAGACTCAGAAACAAGCCGAGCTCAGGTGCGGCTGCGTCCACGCCACAGGGGCTGCTGTGCTGCTCTCCTGGAGCACCCAGGAGTCCCCCTTGGCCGCCAGAACCCAGGTATCCAGAGCTGCCTGTGGTGAGAGCCGACCCCAGGTGCTCACTGACCACCTGCGCCACACACGGCTGGACGGTGCTTGGCACTGGGCCTGCCAAGAAACAGAAACGGGCCCTGCCCTCCCAGCACCACATCCAGCAGGGAGACAGGGCGGTCACAGTGTAAGAGCTGCAGGCAGATCCCACGGAGGGGAGCCAGGGACCAGCTGCAGGGCAACATGAGAACTGCACAGACTTGAGCGTTCTCGCCAGCGTGGGGCATGAGAGTCCAGTGGCTCCACGCAGCTGAGGCACAGCCCGGTGGTGAGGAATCCCACATCCACACTGAGAGGTTACCAGGGATGCGGAAGAGCTTTAGGCAGAGAACAAGCCCGACTGGGCTTCTGGGCACTCCTGCTGGGCCGGGGTCTAGGGCAGGACCAGAGGGGCAGAGCAGAACAGGAGGGCGGAGTGCACGAGGCAGCCCCTGGGCTGGGGGTCTCTTTTCTGGGTGTCTGATGAGGAAACCACCCAAGCACAGCCCCCCGTCTGCTGTCATTTCATCCTCACAGTCCAGGGCTGGGCGGTCGCCCAAGACAGATGCAGACCGGACAAGTCACCAGTTTTCCTGGGTTTCCGCCACTGTTTTTCAAAGACCCCAAGCTGTTTTGTTTAACGATGTCGTCTGCCTTCTCAGCACCTTTCCACACCTAGTGCAGTGCGCAGAGGCATCACACTGCAGGCCAGAGGGCTGGACCAGGGGCTGCTTGGCCACCAACGGCCACGTGGGTGGCCGGCCCCTCTCAGGTTCTTCACTGACCGGTTCAGGCCCATGAACAACACGCATGGTTTTGGAGGATTTTCTGAGCAGCAGAATCCTTCCCTTCAATTGCCTTGTATGAGCTGGTGGAAAGAGCAGGAGGTAGAGACCAGGCACTCAGCCTCCCTTGGCCCCTCCCTTGCCATCAACAGCTGTCTCCAGCTTTGGTTCCTCACCTGTGGCATTGGGGTTACCAGAGTGCTGCCCAAGGCCAGGGCAAGGATAAAGTGAGGGGTGCCCGGAGAGAGGGCCGGCCAGCAGAGCTTGAGGCTCTTACACAGATGCAGGATTACAGGGAACCAGCCGCTTCCTGCTCTCAGAGACCACGGTCTGTGGAGGCCCAGACAGGAGGCCCTGTGCAGTTACGCAGTCACTGAGCCTCGGGCTCTCCTGGGGCCTCAGAGGTCACTGGCTCGTCTGCCAATCAATGAGCTCTGGAGAGCCTCAGAGGCAGAGACAGAAGCGGGAAAAAGAGGGGTGCTGCTCCCACAAGCAGGACTCAGAGGAGGCAAGGCACACCTAACCC